ACTGAGCCCGCGCACCTAGAGCCCCCGCTCCACAGCAAGAGAAGCCACCGCAATGAGAAGCCTGTGCACTGCAACGAAGAGTAGCCCCCACTCGCCACAACTAGAGAAAGCCCGCACGCAGCAATGAAGACCCAGTGCAGCCAAAAATAAATTAATTCATTAAAAAAAATTCGAAAGCAGCAGTGGAATTAAATTGTTGAAAAAAAATAAAGTTCAACCTGCTTTTGCTCTTATTCTATTATATTTTACTGAAATATATGTTTGGCTTTGGGGATTTAATGTGTTAGCCTGGCCCCACATGATATTTTGCATGCTATTTAAAGGCATGAAAGAGCTCTCATCCACCAAATTCTATCCCCTTCACCCACCCTTGACATTATATATCAAAACCACCACTTTTTTCTGAGTAGCCCCTCCCTCATTGACTCACCTGCCAATACAGTTCCGAGCCCTTAGAACACTTTTGTTGTTATAAATTCAACTAAATTTTATTCATAGTAGTTGGGAAATATATGTACTAATTAAGGAGATTTTATGGTTAACCAAGTGTAATGGCGATGTGACATTTCACTCAGAACCCCCTCTTCAGAACTAAGGCACTCATTTCTAGCTGCTGGGAATATTGGTTGCCGAATGCTCACACTGAGTACCTCCTCAGAAATTGTCCTGTGTTGAAGGGAGCTGCCTTGCCTAAGGTCATGCCCCGTTCTCAGGGGCAGCCTACATGCAGTGATTGCTCAATGAAGGTCACAAAGGCCTAGTTTCTTTTCTTCATTTCAGGACATTTCTGAAGGACCATCTCAGTCTGTGAGATTGGTTGCGACCTCTTTGCATCTTCTCCCTCTCTATCCAATCCTGATTTCCTTACTCCTTTACAGGTGTTGTTCCCAAAAGCAGCCCCCAATAATCCACTTACACACAAATCTCAAACTCAGAGTCTGTTTCCCAGGGAACCTTGGGAAAAGTTCAAAGATGACTCCCATGATCTTCACCTTCTGGTATTCACATCTTTGTATGACCCTCTCCCCTTGAGTGAGTGGGGCCTGCGACTTGCTTCTAACTGATGGAATATGATGAAGATGATGGCATGTCACTCCTATGATTAGATTACAATGTAGATATAAGACTCCCTCTTGCTGGCATGCACTAGAGAGACTCCCTTGCTGGCTTTGAAGTAAACTGCCATATTGTGAAAGGGACTATGGAGAGGGCCACATGGAAAGGAACAATGGGTGGCCTCTAGGAGCTGAGAGCAGCCGTTGGTAAATAGCTAGCAAGAAAACAAGAACCTCAGTCCTACAACTGTAAGGAGATGAAGTCTGCCAACATTCTGAGAAAAGTGGATCTTTCCTTAGCTGAACCTCTGATGAGACTGTCACCCTGGCCAACACCTAGATTGTAGTCTGGTGAGACTTTGAGCAGATTACCCAGCCAAGATGAGCCCAGGCTCCTGACTTACAGAAACTGTGAGACAATAAATGGGTGTTGCTTTAAACTGTTGAATTTGTTACACAGCAATAGAAAACTAATATACCAACCTATGACACCAAGAGCTAATACATACACTTGTAGAAAGAGTCAAGGAAGACTGGAGAATGAGAAGCCTTCATGGTGTACAACATTTGATTTTGAAATTATATCAAACTGTTCTTAGAGATATCTCAAGTTGTAGAGAAAATCTTTTGATGGGGATTCTATTTTTAATTAGGTAACTTGATATTCTGCTCCAGAATGGAATGAAGTTGACACATCCTAAAATTTTTCAGTATCTAAATTTGTCAAAACAGTCAAAGGAATTAAAAGTAGAGATAGGGCTTCCCTGGTGGCGCAGTGGTTGAGAGTCCGCCTGCCGATGCAGGGGACACGGGTTCATGCCCCGGTCCGGGAAGGTCCCACATGCCATGGAGCGGCTGGGCCCGTGAGCCATGGCCGCTGGGCCTGTGCGTCCGGAGCCTGTGCTCCACAACGGGAGAGGCCAAAGAAGGGAAACCCCCGTTAAAAAAAAAAAAAAAAAAAAAAAAAAAAAAGCAGAGATAACTTAATGGACAACATTTTGTCTTATAAAAATATTAGTCAAGGAGAGGTACTCTGAATGGAGGCAAAAAGACAGAACCTGTGAATATATTTGAGCTGAAGTATATATACTTTCTAATAAAAATATTAGTATTGAGAATGTTTTCCATTTAGTAGAATTTTTTTCTTCTCCTGTAGAGGGTGTTTTCTCAGTTAAAAACATTGTGATGAGAAGAATCAATTGAAGATGTTTGCAATTTCAAATTTATTAACCATAAAATGCAACTGTGAAACAAATTGCAGGCAATTTTATGAAAAGATTTAAAACATTATAACCATATTGAAAAAAATACGTTTTCAGAAAAATATTGGTAATGTGCTGTTAGAGACAGGTGTGGCTAAGAAACTGATTAAGGTATGTGAATATATACCAAAAAAATTCTGCTTGTGTTATTTTTTAATGTTCAGATAATCAATATAAGTGTTTTTTGCTTTAATGTACAGTGATATATGTTGTTTTTATTTTTAGAAAGAATTTTATTTTTGAAATTAGTTTTTAACAGAACTGTTTTATAGCCTACCAATATAATAAAGCCAATTTGTTGATCAGTAGGTAAATATTTCATATATACTGAATTGCTTTAGTGCCTCCTTTCACTCTCTAAAGTATTCCAGTTTAGTTCATATGGTCTCCCTAAGGCTTTAGGATCTTTTCTTTTTGGCTTTATCCCTATCCTTTAGCTTAGCAGTCTCTATAACCCAGATCTCATTTCATATGCAAACTTCATCTTCTGCAAATGTAAAAGGTCACTTATTTGGGCCGCTTAAGCTATCCATTCTTTATCACATTCAAGTGGGATAACAAGGAAAGGGATGTAGGAAGTTCAGAGGTATAAACAGGTTCTTGTTTTTGTTCTCTGGGAGGCCTCTTTTTGCCAATTAATTCATTAACAAGCCCCAAGAGTTGCCTCAGAAAAAGATTGATATCTCCAAGGACATGTGAGTAAAGTAATGAGAAAAGAACAAGTAAAAGGAAAAAAAAAACCCACACACATATGAGAACACATACAGAGAGAGAGAGAGAGAGAGAGAGAGAGAGAGAGGAGCTCTAACAAACAATAAATATGATTCTGAGGGGAAAAAACACCAAAATTGTGAGGGCAGGAAGGTAAAGCCTATATGAACCCTAGACACCTTTGCATTAGTCCCCTGGAGAGAAGAGTTTATGCCATTCTTCAGGTTACAGTGCCTCACTGTTGCAGGGAGGGGGACCCCTTCCAGGGCCCAAGAGTGAGCTCTTGTCTAACACTTGGAAATGAATTGTCCAAGGCGGCACGTGCTGACAATGCAAGAGACTTTATTGGGTAGGGGCACCCGGGCGGAGAGCAGCAGGGTAAGGGAACCCAGGAGGACTGCTCTGCCATGTGGCTCACAGTCTCAGGTTTTATGGTAATGGGATTAGTTTCTGGATTGTCTCTGGCCAATTGTTCTGACTCAGGGTCCTTCCTGGTAGTGCGCGCATCACTCAGCCAAGATGGATTCCAGCGAGGAGGATTCTGGGAGGTTGGTAGGACATATGGACTGGCGTCCCTTTTTGACCTTTCCTGAATTCTTCCGGTTGGTGGTGGCTTGTTAGTTCCGTGTTCCTTATCAGGACCTCCTGTCATAAAATAACTCATGCAAATGGTTAGTGTGGTGCTGGCCAGTTTCTTTCAGTGCTTCCCCTAACATCAGTACCTTCAACATTGGAGTCCTTTACATCAGGCCACCATTGTAGTAAAGACCATTTCCCCCTATTATCTAATAGAACTCCTAAGTTGTAGCCAGGTAGATGGCTATCCAGCAAGAGACTACGTTTCCCCATCTCCCTTGTGGCTTGGAGTGGCCAAGTGACCAAGTTCTGGAAATCATTGTGAGCCATTTCCACATTGTGACACTGAAAGGGAAAGTTCATGCTTTCCTTTGGCCCTTTTCCCCATCTGCTGGCTAAGAGATGCCAAAAGATGAAGCAGCCACCTTGGACCCAGACATGGCAGAGCTTCTTTACCAGCCCTGGACCACTTACCTCTACTCTGTTAACCTAAAAGAAAAACCAATTTCTATCTTGTTAAACTACTTGTGTACAATCTTGGGTCTTTTTCTTATAGTACCTGCACCCTCCTTAATAAAACCATGCTGAGCTAAACTTGCAAAATTTTAAAAGTACACACCGAGTCACTGGAACATGAGTAGACAGACCAATGGGACAAAAGAGAAAGTCCATCATAGAACCAAATACATACAGAAAATTAGTACAAAATCAAATCAGTGGGGTAAAGACGGACTTTATTTTTTACATGAATAGTGTTGACACAACCAGGTATCTATACTATAGAAAAAGATAAAGTTCCATCTCTTCCTCACACCATACAGCAGGTTAAAACTCTAAGTGGAATGAAGATTTAATGAATTTACCCTTTGAGCCAACAGTTTCATTTCTGCAAATTTATTCACGATAAGGACATATCTGCACTTTATGGATAATGTATGTACATTTTCTCATTGTTTGTAATAGCAAAAGACAGGAAAAAAACTTGTGTCTACCAATAAGGGATTAGATTTTTAAAACTATAATATATAATTGAATGTTATACTATACGAAGTTGTAAGAAAGAATGAGAAAGCTCTGTATTTTCAGGATGTACTTAGGTGAAGAAAGCCAGATGCAAAATAGTGTATAGTACTATGCTACCTTTTGTATAAGAAAGGGGAGAAATGAAAATATATATTTATTTTTGCTTGTATCTGTATAAAGAAACACTGAAAGGATATATCAGAAACTAATAAAATGGTTAGCTATGAGAATGGAAAGAGTGGGGTAGATGGGGACAGGAATGGGTATGGGAGTTCTAAATCTAAGTATTATGTAAGTAATAATTATTACTATTAAGTATTAATAGGCAGTGCGCAGGCACGGCGGCGCGCCTCTGCGGGGCGCTGGGCTCACTGCGCACGCGCGGCCATCAGCTTGGTCCCAGGTGGAGCTGTTTTAGCCGAGCTGGCGCCGCCGTCAGCCTCCGAGATGGGCGCGGCAGAGGCTGACCGCTGGGCTTGGCTGCTGGTGCTCAGCTTCGTGTTTGGGTGCAATGTACTCAGGATCCTCCTCCCGTCCTTCTCCTCCTTCACGTCCAGGGTGCTGCAGAAGGACGTGGAGCAGGAGTCTCAGATGCGAGCAGAGATTCAGGGTATGAAGCAGGAGCTCTCCACCGTCAACGTGATGGACGAGTTTGCCAGATACGCCAGGCTGGAGAGAAAGATCAACAAGATGACTGATAAGCTCAAAACTCACGTGAAAGCACGGACAGCTCAGTTGCCTAAGATAAAATGGGTTATAAGTGTTGCTTTCTACATATTGCAAGCTGCCCTGATGGTCACACTCATCTGGACATACTACTCTGTCCCTGTGACCGTGGTGCCGAGTAGATGGATAACTCCACTAGAACCCCTCGTAGCATTTCCCACTGGAGTAGCAGGGCTTGCAGCAAAGGAACAGACGCCTAGAGAACTTACGTGTCCAGTGTCACCGAAATGTGAAGTAGCAGGGCTACAGTTCAACCCAAGCCTGCCTCAGTATTCCAAGCCCAATACCTGGGGTCTGATACCCCATTTATTGAAACACCACCTCTGGTTCCCAAATTCTGTGACTCCTTTTCAATTCACACTATGCTTAGCCCCTCTGCAGCATTTCCTGCTATCGGCCATTCTTTCACTTCTGAAAGAATTTCTTTTGGGTTTTAAAATTAGTACATGTCATCGTAGAATGATTAGAAATATAAGAAAAAACTTTTTAAAAGACTCAGTAGCTATGGATAACCCCTCTTAACCTTGTGGTATATTTTTTCCAGTCTTTTTTTCTATTTATTTTTGTATGGTTAAGGTTATCTGGCACATACAATTTTTTACCCCTCTTATTATGTAAGCATTTTCCCATATCAATAAATTTCTTCAGATAGGAGACGGACGTGCTGCTGGCTGTGCTGAGAGGGCAGCTTAATAAGTTTCTTTATTAAGGAAAAAATATATATTTGTATTTGTTTAATGTCAGGAAGTACTTGGTTAACTCTATCACTATTGCTTATTCTGAGGTATCTCCATATTTTAAAATATCAGTATAAGAACATTTTTCTATATTGACCTTTAATTACATTTCCACCATGAATTGACTTTAAATACTTTAGACTGATGAACAAAAAAGTTCTGTTAAGAAGTCTCTTCTGTATCAGTGCTAAAATCCAAGTACCATGAGCTCCAAGACCAGTGGCAGTGCTGGCACTCTATTTGGTTCTGTCAAAGTCCCTTACATCCTTTAGGACCAAGCCCATTCAACCATATTTGTTCAATTTATAGCTGCAGTTCCTGTAGTAATTCAGCATGTATCACAGACACACTGTATATATCTACAAATTTTTAAGCCTAACTGCTTGGGAACAAAAGTTGAAATAAACATAGAGGGAAAATATTTAGTTTCAGGAGGCAAGATTTTACTGAGCTAGATGAATACAAAAATAAACGATATGATGTTTGTGCTTTTTTATAAATAAATTTATTTTATTTTATTTATTTACTTTTGGCTGCATCGGGTCTTTGTTGCTGCACGCGGGCTTTCTCTAGTTGCAGCAAGTGGGAGCTACTCTTCGTTGCATTGTGCATGCTTCTCACTGCGGTGGCTTCTCGTTACGGAGCATGGGCTCTAGGCGTGCGGGCTTCAGTAGTTGTGGCTCGCGGGCTCTAGAGCGCAGGCTCAGTAGTCATGGTGCAGCGACTTAGTTGCTCCACGTCATGTGGGATCTTCCTGGACCAGGGCTTAAACCCATGTCCCCTGCATTGGCAGGTGGATTCTCAACCACTGTACCACCAGGGAAGTCCCTGTTTGTGCTTTTTAAGAGGTGGTTATGTCACCTATTTATGCACAATTTCTGAGAGTTCAATATGTATATATACATATAAAGAGGTGACATATACATATTTTTTAAAATCTTGAGTCAATTTAGAATTAATATTTGTGTAAAGTATGTATGTATGTATTCATAATTCCTACTTATTTTGCTTAACATCTCACATAAAAGCATTTTTCATGTTATGGTACACTTTTCATAAACATACTTTTATGACTATAAAATATTTCATCATATAGATGAACCATAATTCACTCAACTATTACTTTCTAAAGGTAGACATTTGAGTTGTTTACAAACACTCAAGAGCACCATAAAAAAAGGACATAAGGAATGCCTTTGTGCATAAATCTTCCTGTATTCTGATCATTTCCTTAAAATAGAGTTCTAGACTTCTTAGAATTACTGGATGGAGGTACATGATATATATGTAGAATTGTTCTCCAAAAGGATTTTACCAACTCCACCAGTCTCACCAGCAGTGTTTGAGAGTGCCCATTTCCTTATACATATAGAGGATTTTAAGGGTTAGGACCACTCACATTCAGTTTATTAAAAACAAACAAAAGTTAAATCTTAGCTCACCACCCCTTTCTTGCCCTTTCTATACTCTCTCCTCCACACCATGTGCCCAGAGTCCTCTGTGCTGCTTCCCAGCCACCCAGGGTCTCTAACTGAGCTGTCCCACCCAAGTTGGCCTTCCCTAGAAAAGTTGACACTCTAGATTTTTCCCTCCTTATCTCATCCCCACACCCAAATTCAAAACTTTATATCCTGCATCCTATCCTCTTGGCCTGCCCTGGCCAGCAGATCAATCTTCATTTTTTTTTAATAATTTTGTTTTTATTAAACCAAAGAAATGTTGGGTCTTCCTTGCTGCACGTGGGTTTTCTCTAGTTGTGGCGAGCGGGGGCTTCTCTCGTTGCAGAGCACGAGCTCTAGGCACGTGGGCTTCAGTAGCTGTGGCACGCGGGCTTAGTAGTTGTGGCTCGCAGGCCCTAGATCGCAGGCTCAGTAGTTGTGGCACACGGGCTTAGTTGCTCTGCGGCATGTGGGATCTTCCCGGACCAGGGCTTGAACCTGTGTCCCCTGCATTGGCAGGTGGAATCTTAACTGCTGCGCCACCAGGGAAGTCCCAATCGATTTTATATATTCATTACCAACAATGTATAATAAATGATAATAAAGAATAAATGTGTTAGGCCAAAAAATGGTCCCCAAAAGATATTCACATCAAATGCCTGGAACTTGTGTATGTTGCCCTATTTGGAAAAGAGTCTTTGCAGATGTCCATTGAATTAAGCATCTTAAAATGAAGAGAAAATCCTTGATTTTCCAAGTGGGCCCTAAATGCCATTACAAGCGTCCCTTTAAGAGAGAGGCAAAGGAAGATCAGGCACACAGAACAGGAGAAGACCATGTGAAGAGGCAGGCAGAGATTCGAGTGATGCAGCCACAAGCTCAGGAACAGCGGCCAGCAACCAACAGAAGCTGGAAAAGGCAAAGAACAGATTCTCCCCTAGAACTTCTAGAGGGATCATGGCCTCGCCCACACCTTGATTTTGGACTTCTAGCCTCCAGAACTATGAGAGAATAAACTTCTGTTGTCACCATCTTTGTAGTAATTTGTTACAGTAGTCACCAGAAACGAATACAGTGCATCACCACGTTCTCTCCGTTAACACTAAGGCTGTACTTTAGGACAAGACTATGGGAGGAAGAGATATTGTGGTTTATTAAATAACCACCAGGTGGCAGTACTGTGCAGAGGCTAGCAAGGAAACCGGTTCTGCTACTTCTCGTTCTCTCCGGTCCCCTTTCCTTTCATCACTGCAACTCACTGATGCCAATCTTCTTTCTAACCCTAAAAAGCTGCTGGCTTGGGCCTTGGGCATCCACAGGTACTTTAGATTATAGAGATTAGGTTGGGAATGTCAGGGGATGGTAAGCAATGAAATGAGATCTGTCTTTTAGTACTCTACAAAGCTTGAAATACCGTCAAATCTGAGCTGTATCCTTTGAGGGAAACAACCCAGGTCTCCCTTTAGGGATGACCTTTAGCAAATGGTGAAGTGGACAAAGCTGGTGACCTCTATGTTTCTAGCTACTCCTTTTCAGTAAGCCCATCCTCAGACACCCAATGCTCTTTCTGCCCCAGGTCCTTCAGTCATGAGGAAGGTGAATTTCTTAGCTACCATATGGGCCAGGCATCCTCCCAAGACCACTTAGTCTTTAACACAGCCTAGAGAAAGCTATTGTAATTATCCTGATTTTACAGAGTGGAATACTGGAGTTTAGTGCGGTCAACTAACAGGGTTACAGTTCTTAAGTGGTTGAGTCACGCCTCAAACCTTGGTCATCTGATATTAATTGCCATATCTTAGTGCAACTCGGCTTCTGGCCATCTTTCTCTAATTTAACATTTACTGTCTGTATCACTCATTTGACTAGCATTTTAATTATCTGTTACACAAATATATGTTATCTCCTAATTAGATCGCAAACTCCATTAAGCCAGGGACTACACCTTAAGCTGTGTTTGCAGCCACATATCACCTGTGACAGTGAGCCTAAAAGTTTTAGTTTTTCACTAGATGCTTAACATTTCTCATCTTGGGAAACAGTTCCCCCCAGTTAGAACCCCTGTCTATGTCACTTTATTTAATGATTTTCAATTTAGAAAGATTCCATTGAGAACTTTATTTGGAAACTACAAAATTGTTAGGACTGGACTTAGAGCCACCATAATCCACAATAGCTTCATCTCAGTTCCTCCTAAATGTTTTAGGATGCAATAGGCCACCTATTACAGGCTTAAATTCCTCCTAGAGGTACAGTATAATAAAATCAAAGATGATTATAGTAAGTGACATTATTGGGTCAATGTCACCTTCTTAATCTGCAGACAAAACTTTACAGCAGTGTCCAGATATATCTACAAACCTGTTTTTATAGTTCCCAAGTTAATAGATCCTCTATTCTCATTTTTGCATTGTATATCTGCATTTTCTTAGGCTAATTCTAACTCAAGTTGTTACCTGATTTAAATGAACACATATGTAGCTTCCAGAGCCACTTCTTTTCACTTCAACAATTAGAATGAATGTTAATAATAATTAAATCTACCCAATGATGAAGATTCTTTCTGGGATTCTATGAACCCTTCTATATTTTCATGCTTAGAAATGTATCCTCACTATATTATCTTTTATCTCAAAACTCTTATGTCAATTTTGCACTCATCTAGTTGGATTTCACTGTACCTATATATTATTCTTGCAGTTTTTTCCCAGCTTTATTGATATATAACTGACATAATATTGTATAAGTTTAGGGTGTACAATGTGTTGATTTGATACATTTATATATTGCAAAATGATTACTATCAAAGTATTCTTTGATTTTTTAATGGTCTTAGGCAAAAGCAATACAATATTGACCTACCTTCATATTTACTGGTAGAATGATAAGGGTGCATTAGTTTAATGGGCTACCCATCACAAAGTTATCAAGTGAGATCACAGGTATGAAAGTGCTTTGGAAATGGTAATTAACAACACACATGTAAAATTATGGTATTGTTACTGTTACTCTTTTGAGAAATATTACAAGAAGAGAAATCCAAAGAATATTTAATGATTACATTTTGATCACTGTGTAACCTAAGAGGAGTTAATATTTGAAGATAGGAGAACCTTCCCAGAGATTTCTCAATGTAAATAATTGCTTAACCCAGTGCCTTTCAAGCTATAATGTGTGTAAGAATCCTCTGGAGATCTTGTTAACATGCAGATTCTGGTTCAGTTAACATGCAGACTCTGGGCTGGGCCTGAGAGTATGCATTTCTGACAAGCTCCCAGGTGATGCTCATGCTTCTGATCTCTGGACCACACTGTGTGTGCCAAGGAATAATTTTGGCTCTGCCTCT